TAACCTTGTGAGTCAACTTTCCAACCATGGGATTAAATTATAGCTGGTCAAATAGTGACCATTTCTATTATTAACAAAATCCCTACTCTCGGGATGGGGAACTACAGAAAAATCCCACCCCTTGGATAATACTGTGTGTCAAATCCCCCCCCCCCCTGTCTAATCTATCAATGAAACACATTCTTTATTCTCAACAGTGCCAATGTTAAAATCGCAAAAATGCATCATTGTTCAATGGCACCATGGGTGGATTTCCCAGAAAAAAAGATACTTAAAAAAAACAAATAGAAAAATAAGGGTATTGTTATCATGTTTGCACCATTTAATGACAAAATGACATCCTGGTATACTCAATTTGTCAACACAGATAAAGAGTTGTTACTGGTAAAAAGTGTGAAAACGCATCATATTTTGGTGGCACCGTGGGTAAAGGACCGCAAGTTGTTTGTAGAATGAATCGGGGGATTTTTTAATGCATTCGCTTGTGTTTTTCATCTTAATGTATATAACACTGTGGCTAGTCGATCTATGTGGATGCAGTCATTTATATGCAATGTATCATGGGTGCTCGCGTACATTATAGGGAATGGGATCATTGCAAAAATATGACAGCAAATCGGGGTAAGTGATCTCAGAGTTTCTACTTAACTTTGTGACTTGAAATCTTGCATAAATATTCAATATGCATAGTATCACAATGTGTGAAAGTTTCAGCTACTATATTCCTGTTATAGGGAAGATACTTGAAAAACATTTCGTAAACGTCAACATATATGTATAAAATGGATGCCACTATGTATCATTTGGATTCAGAACGGTAACAAATGGATGCTATAATAAATTATACTCTTATCATGATGATTTATTTACTGATGGACAACTGGCCAGATTTTCTTTGTATTCATTGTTTAGATAAACATTCCTCATTCAGTAAAGTAATTAGCAAAACCATTATAACACACCCTCGTGAAGAATTGAAAATACTATAGATAAACCCATCAACTGGAAAATGCCATTACTCATGAAAAAACTATGGTTTTATCCCTAATATCTTAATTTGAAAAACGGGTCCATAACATGTAACGATGACAATGAAAATGTTGAAATTAGGAACGCCAATGAAGTTAATTCAGAGCCAAAGACCCATCAACCCACTGGACCCCCAGGCTCAATAAAACCATGCAATTGATGTTGCCCATAGATTTAAATACTATATCAGCATGTGAGAAAGATACCAACGGTTTTTGCTATTCAGCAGGAACAATCTCTATCAGAAAAAGTAAAAAAAGCTTGGATTTACCTTTGTTTTTTAAAAAAAAATTTGCATGAATATGGTGTTTTGAAACATTCGATACTGTCGCTTTTTTCAATATGACCTTATACGTTTTTTTATTAATCTTTCTCCATGAAGTCCTTTGCTAAGCATGAAATAGTTTTATCCTATTTATTACTAAAAAATCATTCAAGCACAATTTTTCTCATGAAAAATTGGTAAACAATTTTTTCAGTGAGTAACAGGTCTGTCGCCACTTTCATTAAAAATGACATCCCTACATCACACGTCAATTTAGGAATGATCAATACATGACTGTCTTATCTGAAATTAATATCCCATCAGTGTTCCTTTTTTACAAAAATATTACCAAAAAATTAGACAAGGGAAAGAAGGAGAAAATTCAATTAACCATAACTTTTTTAAATTAAAATTAACTTGAAACAATTTTGAGATTGCATTCTACATTCATATGGTTACATTATCAACCGGAACTTAAACTCTTTGAAGGAAGTTAATTTTTATCAAATTCTAAAGGCTAATTGCACGGTTTTATTGAGCCTGGGCGTGGAATACCCACAAATCAAGTTTCATAGCCTTGCCCAAGTCGGTCTCTTTTACTTATCTTGATTTCTATTATGACTGCCTTGTACCCAAGAGAAAGCCACGTGCTTTACCGACCAAATGTTTTTGTCGATAAAATTTGACCAATCAACGATGGCCCTACATCGCCGGACAAGGTCTTTGTGCATTTCCATCGTGAATTCAGTTTTGATTTTGAATCAACATTGAATTGCATGATTTCATTTGTATGAGTATTAATGACTGCTTACATTCCAATGTACATTTAATAACATAATATATTGTTAGTACCTCAGTGTAAATACTCAAATCTGATTAGTCAATTAGCGGCCAACATTTTTTGCCTGTACTTCACTTGTGCATCATGGGATATCATATTATTGACTGCGTAGGTTACTCTACTACACTTGTGAATTATGGGAAATATGACGTCACAATGTTTACAGAAAAAAATGGTAGACGGACATTTTGTAAACGTTGATGAAAGTGATATTTTGACTTTTCTACACGACGAGTATAGAAAAAATACAAATAGAAACGCAAAATTAACATCAATTTACTAGTCTAGTGAGTACGCAGTTATGTGCTTATTAAGAGTTTAGCTTCCACTGTGTTCAGATTTTCTTAAAAAAGTATTGCTGGCGTGGTTCAGAGAAAAGATTGTGAAATGAAGCCATGATCGATGACTGTCGTATATATGAGTATTATTAGTTTCTTCTGACTAATAAAACAATTGTAGACCTCTCCATTCGGTCAATGGTCAAAATCATATACCTCAACTGTAAACCTTGAAACTACTGTTGACCTCGACCTTCGGTCTCTGTCAACAGTAGTTTCTCAGTTTACAGTCTCGGTATACAATTTTGCCGGTTGACCTCTTGAGAGGTCAACAATTGTATATTGTAACTTTTAAGAAACACTCGATCATATCAGATAACGTTTTGATTGGTCAATCAGCCTGAAGTCACACGTCGTGTCCATGCGATCTTGTCAATCAATAATATTTCGCAATACCCTTAGGTAGGGTAGGTATAATGGGAATCTAGGAACTGCTGAATAACTTAGCATAATATCAGCGATGATGCATTGGATTGTACAAGGTGGTAATAATTCAAGATCAGATAAGTAAATAAATACCGACTTGGGTAAGGCTACAAGTTTCAGAGCCATTAACATTCCTTAAAAGTGACAATGAGCAGCCAACAGATGGACCATCTGTAAATCTTGATGATTTTGTCAGCTCAGCTGAACGAGCCCACAGATTCCTTGAAACAAATGACCCAAATCTAAGAATAATATTATATATTTCCAATTTTTTGAAATCATGGTAAGTGGAATCTTTCCAATTACCAATATAGCATCATTATTGTTTTTGTGGATTAAAATATTAAAAATATACACATTCAAAATGATTCAATTAAAACCTAGCCAGCCTGTTCATTGAATCCATTAAGAACGTCTACTAATCCACATGATACATCGTAATTAAATTGCTTTTTTAAAGCGGATATTTCATACCATAACCCCAAAAATATTGTAGAACGCATTGTATTTGTATTTTACTTCACACAAACATGTTTGTGTACGTGAAATAATTATATTACTTGAATTTTTTTATTCCCCATTATAAGGTAAACCTATGGCAAATTATACATACCTTCTCACAGCTATGAGCGAGGTGATAAAACAAGCTGAGTGAACTCGTTTGAGTTATCTATTCTCCGTAAAAATATCAGAGAATGTGTGTTTATAGCGTAGCTTTGGTTTTGTAAATCAATGAAGTATGATATACACAGATGAGTAAATATAGATTATTTAAACAGAAGTGTAAAATTCTTCCATTGAAAGAGGCGAGCACCCACGATACATTGCATATAAATGAATGCATCCACATAGATCGACTAGCCACAGTGTATAACAGGATAGTTAATCAGTATACACACTTCATTGGATTGTTTTGATTTATATTACAATCCAATGAGGTGTGGCCTATTTATAATTGACTTTCCAATTATCTCAAAATCTGTACCATTGGATTACTATGGGGAATTTCTCAAATAAAAAATTCTTGGGATTTAGGAATGGGTACCTTTTATACAATTTGAGAAATTATTGGCACACATAAAACCTATTTAAAATAGCATTTATATTATTCAAAAGCGATCGTTATCAATGATTCAAAGCCCTCTGAAGTTTGAAAACTAAAAATACCTGGGTGTTAAACCATAGATAATCCTTAAAATGATAAATATTTTTGGGAATTATATGATGCAATCTTATAGTCAATAAAAAGTGCATTGATGTTTTTTTATGAAAAACACAAGTATATGCATAAAAAAAACTCCGCTGATTGATATAAATACAAACAACTAGTGGTCTTTTCCCAGTGGAGTTGAGTGAAAATATTTCACAGGGGTGCTTTTTAGGTCCAAATGAACCCAATTCTAAGTGAGCATAACCGAACTTAAAATTTATCAAATGTTGGACCACCCTAATATGCACACTAGCCTACCTCGATTGCGCATGCGCGAGATTTTTTAACTTTCGTCCATGGAACTTTTGAGTAAATCGACTTTGAGTGAGGAATAAGTCAATATTGTCAAAAGAAGTAAAATATTCAAAGTGAAACTTGCACGCGCGCTATACATTAATGGATTAACTAAAAACTAGTATCCTAGATTGCCTTTAATATTTACCTAAAACACCCACTATTCTCTTCCTTTGCCCGTACGGGGTTTTTCTTTAAAAATATTTATAATCTGCTTGATGGCACTTTTTATGTATGGTAGAACACTAGGAATATATATGTAAAATCTAGTTTACGTTTAGAAATATGGAAATAAACCCACGCCCTCCATTTGCTTAAATGTAGCCTGTATCTGTTTTACATGTAGTGACTGCCTGGGTACGGTAGTTTGATATTGTACATTCCAAATATATGTGTTTATGTATCTCATGTACTCACTGGAGCTGCATTGAAATTAATCCATTCATCATGTCCGTTTATGGTTTCAAGAAAAATAGAGGTTTGGGCGCAATACGATTTTACAGGTACCCTAGGGAGAGTTTTGTAAGATTTTGTTGACATATTTCGGTCATTTAAAATAGCAACTACATTCACTGTATTAAACACGCTACGAAATAACTACATGATATTACAAGATTTCCTTATCTTGTTTCCTAAAGCAAGTGAGCCGATACCTGCTGTTGCGGCTGTAGCTCCACCGGCAGCAACTCCAAGAGCGCTTGCGGCAGCTTGTATCGTAGCTACACCAGCGACTGCGCCAGAAACGGCGGCACCGACCGGTATTGCAGCGAATCCACCAGCAACGGTACCGGCTACTGCAGTGCCAATACCAAGTGCCATCGCAATTGTCTTTAATACACGAGAGGACGGTTCAACTGGTTTAGATTTTTCCTTTTCATATTCACGTTTGCATTTTTTAACTTCAATATCAAAGTTCCTTCTCATTTTGTCGATATCATTTTCATATGAGTTCACAGCGACGTCTAATTTAGCATGCCGTTCATCATTCAGCATTTCCTTACGTGAGTTTAAATCACTTTGAAATGTACTTTGCAAGACTGTATTACGAAACTTCTCATTGATCGTCTCAACTTCTTCATCCTTTTTTATTTTCCGTTCGCTAACATCTGATTCAAATTGTTGTTTCATATTTTTCAATTTTTCTTTCAGTGCGCTATCAAGTTCATCATCTCTTTTCTTTCTATCTTCTTCTATCATTTTGGCAAGTTGATGACTATCTGTACAGTAATCCCGACCAAGACCCCACTCATAAATTGCTTTATAAAAGCGCGAAGCCTCCTTGTATCGACCTTTAGACCTGTTATCGATAAAGAAAATTCTATTAGAACATTCTTTGCCTAGTTCCCGAAGCTCTGGTATATTTTCGCTTTCTGCATGGAATTTTTTTTCAGCCGCTTTAATAAAGGTATCCTCATCCACTTCAGCATCATCATGATCATCAAAATCATCATATTTCAAGCGGCGTATTTCATCTTTAATATCGTCGCCATGAGTAAACAAGAGAACCCCATATTTTTCCATAACTTTGACGCCAAATAGTTTTCTAATGTTAGCAATGACATCAGTATCCTCTTGTGTAAATCGTTTAAATTCAGCCACAATTACGATAACATGGGGACCCGGAGATGAATATTGTATTGATAGTGCAACTTCTCGAAGAACGTCGTCTTCTGATCTGCCTGTGTCTTTAAATCCGGGAGTATCGATGATTTTATAGCGAGTTGAACCATTTGTGCACCCCAAAACGGTGGTTGTTCTAGTAACCGAGCCTAGACTGGGCGATTCGTCAAACCATCCCTCTCCCTTTTTTCGTTTGCCCAGAATAGTATTGGCTGTTGAACTTTTTCCAACGCCAGTCTTTCCAATTAGCACGATCCTCCTTGGTTCACCTGAAAAGCAAGTCTCATGCTTATAAAAAAGGAGTTTTTTAAACGTTTTATAATCAAAAGAGAGGTTAAGATTAGCGTTAAAATATACGTGTGACTATTCCTATCCGTATGTTTGTTACGGTATTGCAAAACGAGTTTAAGAATAACTTAAAAGGTTTCGAAACCGTATGCTACAATTTATGATAAAATGACATCTGAAGAATGAAAACCATGCGATGGCTTATATTGCATATACCAGTACATGTCACCTCCAAGAAGTTATATACACGCACGCCACGACGCTCTCTAATTGACCAGTGGTAATTAATAGTAACACGGGACAGGCATAAATTGGCCGTAGCCCGATGCTATTTATAACATAGCGCAAGTATCTATGCTCTGAGTCGCAAACAGCGTCGCGCTGAGTCGCTGAGAGAGTTTGAACACAGAGAGTTTCTCATTGCAGCGCGCCAATTTTATAGGTGCGCTGAAGCATGGCCTTACATGAAAGTTAGTCGTGGGCCGTACTGTACTTTAGAGGGAGTTGTGTAGCTACGTATAGCACAGAGTTTATACTGGCGGATTAGACTAGTTCATTTTTTATATGTGTGTGAAAGCTTTCTCTTATTTGCGTTTTTTTCGTTTAGTACGGTTTTGTTATAATTGCCGAGGTCATATAACCGGGATAAAACAATGATTATCGTTGACTGCCCACACACAAAACATACGTTGAGTGAACAGTGTTATTACAAACAACAGGCTTTGGAATACAAAGCGTGGTGTGATAATAAGCTGTACACTACCACTGCTACATGTACATATGACTGATTTACTAGGGCTCCCAAAGAGTGGATAGGGAGGTTGTGTTTGTCACTTTTAAATTTTTTACATTTCAAAATTGTCATTTTACATGCCATAATTTGTTGGTTTCATTCGTTTAGCCAATCAAAACATTGTAAAACAATAAATTGTCTGTTACGTACAATCAATTTTGTTCAGTTTTGACTAGTTGTCAGAATAAAGTTACGTTCATCTGAATCCATGTATCAAAACAAAAATCCTATTTTCACTTCAAAATACTTCAGTGAGATGAAGGCTCGGAATTGTCACATGCAATAACTTATTGTCGTATTCGTTATTTTATCTTCTCGATAGTAGCATTTAGTCGCACATTTGATGCCAGGTCACCTTGTCGCGTACCTCTTGGGGAACCCCACATTTATGTGTGTACTCATGGAAGTAAATTCCCCGGTGTAGCCGAGAGCCACAAACTTTTCAACAGGTTCGAAATGACCAATTTCTCTCATATATACTTTAAATATTTTATTATTTAGCACCTACAAAGTATTGCTAATAACCATATGTAATTTCAATAAGGAAACTTATCTGGCTACATATAAATTCAATAGGGAGTTTAAGATTAGCGTAAATAACCCATTTACCTATACCTATACGTAGTTTGTTATTACACTAAGCGGTATTTTACCTAAGTTACAGGGTTTACGATACGTAATTACCTATAAATGGCCGAAGATAGGTAATTCGAAAACGTATGTTTTTATCAAACAAATTGTGTCATTTCTAGATCAAATATCATCCAATAAACTTTAAAATAGTAACACCAAACATTTCTCATTCGATCTGTATAGAAATTAAGTGGTCGAACACATTCATTGATGCGATAAACGATGCCATGTGATGATGCATGAAATTGTTGAATTTACAAATTCTTCATCAGTTTTGCTTATTGTAAATGTATGAAATCAGCCATTATATCGTGGTTTTAATTGTTTAACTTTACTATTTGGCCACTCTCATTGCTAGATCATGCTAGAAATTTAACATTTCGGCTTAAGTCACTGCCCCATTAGCGGGCCCACAAGCATCACCCCCTCCCAACTACAGTAGCTACACCACACACTCTCTGAAGTATATAACAATTCTTGGAGGTGACATGTACTGGTATATGCTATATAAGCCATCGCATGGTTTTTATTCTATGATTAGGAGTTAATTTTATCATAAATTGTAGCATATGGTTTCGCAGCCTTTTACGTTAATCTTAAACTCATTTTGCAATACGCATTACCTATACGTATCCGTAACAAACATACGGGATAGGTACACGTATATTTTTACGCTAATCTTAACCTCCCTAATATCAACACTAGCTGTTCTCTCAACACGTCCTGGCTTACCTTGTGGTGACAAACCCTGGATTTTCGCTATTTATAGTTTATCAACACCAGGACGCATGCGCATTTTATAGTTTATCGGGCACTTTAAGGCGAAATGTTAAATTTCTAGCATGATCGAGCAATGAGAGTGATTAAATTACTGAGAGTGATCAAATTGTAAAATTTAAACAATTGAAACCACAAGAAATGGCTGATTTCATACATTCAAAATAAGCAAAACTGATGAAGAATGTGTAAATCCAACAATTTCATGCATTATCACATGGCATCGTTTATAGCATCAATGAATGTGAAAGACCACTTAATTTCTATGCAGATCAAATGAGAAATGTTTGTTGTTACTATTTTAAAGTTTAATAAATGATATTTGATCTATAAATGACATAATTTCTTGGTGAAAAACATATGTTTTCGAATTACCTATCTTCGGCTTTCTATAGGTAATTACGTATCGCAAACCCCTGTAACTTAAAATACCACTCTGTGTAATAACAAACTACGTATAGGCACTGGCGGATCTGGGTGGGCCCAGCCTTTTTGATTATAAATGGACCTTCTAAGGCCTTATTTTATAATTTTAGGCCAAATCTTGAAGAAAATGGGCCTCAAAATTTCAAAATTTGGCCCCACTTTTTGGTTATATGAGCAAGAAGTTTGGGAACCCCCCCCCCCCCTTGTAGGTTCAACTCCCTAATGGCTACTTATGGACGTATAGAGGGTACGCTACAAATGAAAACGTAATATACAAACACTATAAGCTATAACATTAAAAAAGAAGTCATTTATGAACACGCTATTATGTGAGTCACGAAATCAAATTTTTATTATCCCAGAAGAACCACTTAGCCGTTCAACTGAACTGTTTACAGATGCAAGAGCTAACAAACAAATGTTAACAACGGATTAAGATTTGAGTATGCTGGGTAAATTACACGTCAGCCAATTTGTTTTTTTACAAAACATATTGTCAAAACCATCAATCCGTTTACATTGATTCTTTACAGATTCAAGAGCACAAATGCGCCAAAAAATGTTGCATCTTTTTTAGGAGGCTAGACAAGTATCATAACATTATGGTATTGACGTAAAATCTTTTTTACAGAAACTTAAAGAAAGGCATTTTTCGCCATTCAAATACTTAGCTTATTATAATTTGTCAGATGTTTGAATATTAATGCAAAATTGTTCATGTGTCCGAGATTTACCATTTTTCCTAGAAAATGTGACTTTCTATGATTTTATGTGATCAACAATAACAAGTTCATTATGTTTACTAAATCTGCTATAATCTTTGATAACTGTTTAACCAATGTTTGTACAGGTTTTTATCAGGTTCCAGTCACTATTGTATTATGTTATACTGTATTAATTATTTATTAAACAAATGTTCTAAGCATCCGCCTTCAACTTCACAATGACATAGAGACGTGGACCGAACTTGTCAATAGCGCGATCCATCAATTCGTGTGGTAGTTTTCTCCATTTATAACCATTAACTACAACGTTGCTCAAGGTGCCCTCATGTGTGATAGTCACAGGGGTTGGCATCTGGTGTATTGGGTGGCCATTCATCAGGACTAATATTCTTCAAAAGGGACATCTGTCCAGAATGAGAGCTCTTTCAGCCCAAGGTGATTACTTATTCCATCAGGATAGCGCTCCCAGCCATAGGGCAAGAGTCACTATGGAATATCTGGAGGAGAATAATATTCAAACATCTGACAAAAAGATTTGAAGTCAGTATTAGCTTAAGTATTTGAATGGTAAAATATGCCTATCCTAAAGATTCAGTAAAAAAAAGTTCATGTCAATACCATAATGTTGTGATACTTTTTTGCCTTCTAAAAAAGCTGCACAATCTTTTGGCACACCCTGTAGTATTTAAACCGTATCAAAATTGTACATGTTATGTTTATTTGATATCTTTAATACTCGTACATAGTGTTATATTTAGAAGAAGACATGCATAATCCAAGGTACGTCATTCACGGTTCACATTTATTTTTATGTTTTAACAGAATTAGATCATTTCTTCCTAAACGATATTGACCGAGTAACGCAGAGGTGCCTCTAGTATAACTAGACAACAGCAACACCGGGGCATGGCAAATCCCATCAAACAGCCATGGCTGTGCTCTTAACAAAATTGCTTTACTGCGATTTTACTAACAGCAAACTTCATAAAACAACATTTTTTCAAAAAAGCTGCTTCACAACAAAATGTCACAGAATAATCTGCCATGTTTATAAGTAGTCACATGTGAAATATGAACAAAATTGCATACATATGACGGGCATTTTCAAAATGGCGGTCATTTTAGAAATGGCCATGTACTAGCCAAGGTGTCATAGAACAGTGTGACATGCTTATAAGTCATGTTATATGAACAAAATCGCTCTATGTCAGTGCGTGCTATAGTAAAAAACATAAATGACATGTGTAAAATGTCAGCCATTTTCGCCAATGTAACAAAAGCGATGGTCTAAATGTACGAATTACAGCTTTATTTAAAAAACAAATCCCAAACCAAGGCGCATTTCTTAAAGCTAGACTATATTGTCGTAGCTTACTGAACATAGCTGGCTCAAAAGCTAGCTGAGGGACGTTCAAATATACCGTCTTGTGAAGTGATTTATCCAACTCCCAGCCGATGCGCTGGAATAAGTAACGGTATTTAAAGGGTTCCGATTAGCATCCCGTATAAAAACAATATGGCGGCTCCAGGCGAATTAACTGGATCAGTCCATTTTTAAGAAATAAGGGGAGTTCAGTAAAATCCAGTTTATTGAAATTGTCTTTGAGATAAAGTAATCCGTTTATAATG